AAATAAATGAATTAATGAAGTTATAAATGAAAACCTATAGACTCTCCATCGGAAACCAAACCCATTGTCATAGAGTCAGGTCCAACTCATGGCAAGACTGTAACACAGAGTGGCACTGCCCCATGGGGGTTCCAAAGCTGTCAATTGTTTCAGAAGGAGATTGCCACATCTTTCTCCCACGGAGCAGCTGTCAGATTTGAAGGACTGACCTATCAGTTAGCAGCGGAGTGCTTAACAGCTGTGCCACCAGCACTCCCACACAACCAGGACAGAGTGATGATCTCCGACTCGGCGCAAAGCAGGGTGGAGAGGAGAGACACGCTGTGATGGAGATGCTGCTGCAAAGCAAGTGTGGCTCCAGATCTGGGGCCATATAGTCCTCAGGCCTCAAAGGCATCCTGATTTCACCTTGGATTTTCTGTATGGAAAACTTGTTCCTTTGTTTCAGGAGATACTCCCTTTTAGAAGACCATACCTCTTCTTATTGATTTTTAATAAACAGAATACAACAACGATATAATGAATAATAATTCTGGTATGCTCGTGATTTCCAGGAATTCTTCAAGTATTTTAATGAATTCTTACAGCACGTTGAGTCCCCCCAGAGGCACCTGGGACAAAAGGCCTGGCACATTCCTTTTGGAACATCAGTCATTGCAAATCCCAGGGAGCACCATCCTACTCCGCACACATAACAGTGCCATCAGTTGGAATCTACTCAACAACTTAAAAAAATTTTTTTTTAATCCCAGAAGAGGCTTATGCATAATTTTCTTTCTCCTTCCTTAGAGGGTTGTGGGCTCATTTAAAGAGCCCAATGTTTGCTATCAGATTACTCATGTATTCGTTTTGACTCGTTTACTTAAGTCTATACCCAGGGGGAGACGTCTAACAATTCTGGGCCTCAGTGGGCTCATCCATAAAAGGGAGCCAATGATACTACCTTGTCGGACTATTATAAGGTTTAGACTGGAAGCCAATGTTGATGAAAGCATTTTGTACATTGTTAACCACTGGGTAAACACCCTACTGTCTCCTTTGTCTCTGAGTAGCAGAAAGGGGGTCAATGGATGTGCTTATATCTGTCCTGGGAGTGGAGAATATGAATCTCAGGCAGATGAAGTGACTGGTCTAACAGTCTCACAGAGAGTCGTTCATTAGGCCAGGAATGAAGCCCAGATTGCCCCAGGCACACGTCCATGTGCACTGTGCTGCAGCCAAGGATCACTATTTTGCGAGGGTGAGGCTGCCAGCTCCACAGCTCCTACGTTTCAATGTGTGTCTTCCAGCCCTCTCCCCACCCTCCTAAGCTCTTCTTAAGGCCCCTTGACATTCTGGGTAAAAGTCCTTTTCCCTCTTTCCTGGACTGAACTGTTGGATTTGATGGTCTGACTCGGCGACAGAGCTCCTCTCCAAATGAGCAGCTTCGATAGAAGACAGCAGGAGCCTGCTCAGACACGCTTGTCAAGTGCTTGAGATCCTTCGCTAATGAACATTGTTTGGGGGGGCGCTGCTTGGGATGAAGCCATTATCTGTGTGATCTTCACCTGACCCTTTATGCACCAAAATTCATACGTTGCAATTCTGTGGTTAACTAGGAAGGCTTTACAACTCCTTTCTCCCCTGGTTATCATTTCTCTTCTATCTCCGGGACCCATTATGCAGCAATTTTGCTTTCTCCAATTTCATTTTCACTTTCAAAGTGAATGTCATTTGTCAGGCAAACCACATATTCTTTGGATCCCTATCTGTTAAATTATTTCTGAACTTGACTTTTTGGGGGGGCCCCATCCTGGCTGACCTAAATTCTTCGCTCTCCTACCATTTCCCCCTTCTCTCTGAAGGCAGCCTTTTGTGCCCTCCTCACCTACAGGAGCTGTTTCTGGAAGCACTTATCTGCTACCCCAGTTGGAAAGTTATCATGGCTATCTAAATTAGCTGGTGTGATCTTTTATCTTAACTGCAGGCAGGACTGATCCTCTGTATGAGAACTATCCATCAGGTTGCAAATCCATCTGTAGCCCCATTCCTCAAACATCCCGTGTGAAACAAGGATTCGAGTCCTTAATGTTCCCAGTGCAAAGATGGTCTCTGTACTCCTCAAAGCAGCCCCTTTCATGAGATGATGAATAGGCCATCTCCTGCCCTCTCCTCATCACCAAGGAGAGGGCCCTGGTGGACCCCAGGACTTCTCTGTCCTGGCCTTGCCATCTGTCGAGAGAAGGCATCATGATAAACAAAAACCAATAAACAAGCAATTACAAGCTAGCAAAGTGCCTGACTTCACATCATTTACCTTCGGTGGTGGCAGCAAAGGAAGAGATTTTTGCATGTGTCCAAAAATAATTTCATGAGAGGGCCCACCGCGGTGCTCAGCCTCACATCGGGCAGACCATGTTTGGAGTGCTGGGCTGGCTTCGAAGCCTCTCGACTCCAGAAGAGAAGAATGCACACAAATGCCATGGAGAATGTCCAAGATTACAAAGGGACCCAACTGGGTTAAAAGTGGGTACACGTATCGGAATGTTTAGGCTGGAAAGGAGAGCATTCTGGTTGATACGCCCGGTGGAAAATTCTGTCTCGGACTCCTGTTTTGCAAATTAGAAACTTGAGACATAGAGAGGAGAGACTCAGAGAATAACCGGAGTGAACTTTTTAGAGAAGAAATGAGATCATCTCGTTGTGCTGCTTAAAATCTTCCAGTGACTTCTCCGTGACTGTTAGAGAAAAGAGCAGCCCCCAAACCTGGGCCTCCACAGCTCCACAGCATGGCTTCTAGCTGTAGGTGAAGGAACTGCTATACTGCTGCAATCAGGAGACCCCCCAAAGGCCATGGTTTAGATAAGGCCGAGGTTCATTTCTCTCTCATGAAACAGTAAGAGGTTAGAGGTTAGGGGCAGGGGCGTCCGTCACCTTCAATGCATCTCTTCAGTATGAGGCTGCTTGGAACCTACATCTTTCAGTCTCTGTGGACGAGCCATCTTTGCAAAGCTTCTTTGTTCACTCTCTCTGAAGGTGCTCCTCACCATCTACCTTTATGCCAGCTCAGCGCCCAGCTTTTGGACCCCAGCACAGTGCTTAAAAGTTACACGCTTTTATTCAATGGATTCCATGATTTTGCATAACCCCCACCCCACCACTACCACCCAACCTGGTAGACTATCATCTCCTTAGGGTAAGGACCTTCTACCTCTTGTTCGCCACTGTGTTCCTTTTCATTGCTGTTCAAACGTAGCACCCAAACCAGAATTGCTTAAAATAATAAGTGTTGATAATCTCCCTGTTTCATTAGGTCAGGAATTCAGAAGCTGTTGAGCTGGGTGGTTCTGGATGAGTCTCTCAGGGCTTGCAGACTCCTGACAGCTACCTGCAGGCTTACCAGGGGTGGAAAGACCTGTTCCTAAATGGCTCGGTCACATGGTGCTGATGGTTGGGGCCCAACTCCTTCACAAAAAGGCCTCTCGAAGCAGCGACAGCCTGAGCATCCTCACCAGACAGAGTCTCTGGCTCACGCCAGAGTAAGCAATCCAAGAGAAAACAAGATGGAAGCCACAATGCCTTTTGTGACTCAGCATGGAAATCACTCACTGTCATTTGTACAAAATCCGATTGGCCAGACAGGTTCACCGGTAATCCTGTGGGAGGGGACTACACAAAGGGTTGGACACTGGGAGAAAGAGATCCTTGAAGGCCAACTTGGAAGCTGGCTACCAGTATTCCAAGATCCTTCCCCAACCATAGCGTCAGCATAGGGCCAGTACTTAACATAAGCGTGTTCAAGGAAGGCAGGGTGGAGGAGAGTCCAAGAAAATTTATTATTACGAAGATTAATATTTGAATTCAGTCTTGAAATCAGGTCTTCAGCATCTGGCTTCATTCTTTTTCCTCCACAAGGCCTTCTTTGTGACTCTTCGTACCCTGTGCTCCCTCCCAGTACTCTGACATGACATGCTGCTCTTTCTTCAAATCTGTGCCAGGCTGTACCCAACCCTGGTGTACGTCGGACAGAGAAATGCATTGCCAGGATGTGTCTTTGTTCCAGACCCTGGCAAGGGGAGAGCAGGCGTCCTGACAGACTGCGGAGCTGTGAGGGCCTGCCACATGTTATGAACGGTATTTATCATCTCATGCACTGGTTTCTAAGCTTCAACATGCACAGGAGCCACCCAGGAAGTATGAAAACAGTGATGAGACTGTGGTGTCATGCCGACAGGTTCTGGGACTGCTAATCCAGAGTGGAATGCATCAATCTGCCATAAAATGGGCTGGTGGCCAGTCTTTGCTTGGAAGTTCTAATCATTGATGATGCGCGAACAAGCACTCCTCTCCCTCCAGCTCTTTTGTACCGCTGGAGACATCTTCTGGAGAATGGCCATTGAGGCATGTGGTTGGAGAGGAGAAGCCCAGCCATCAGCTGCCAGGCCAAGAGAAAGTATACACACGCTTACTAGGAAAATCAAGGCAGGGCAAGGAGAGCCGAAGGGCACAGGGCTCCCTAATAGTTTATCTGGATGTAACTGGCGTTTGCGGGGTTGTTTTCTCTTTCACAAGGCGTGTGTGTGTGTGTGTGTGTGTGTGTGTGTGTGTGTGTGTGTGTGTGTTAGCTTCTTCTGGCATCTAACTGGGAATTTGATTCATTTAACTTCTTTAGTCAGTTGCAATAAACCAGGTGGTTTTGCATTGCTCATGCAAATCACTTTCTCCTCACACATGGCTACAGTCTCAGCTGCCAAAATGTTGTCATGTTCTTGTCTTCAGAGTTTTAATAATAAGGGGGAGAAATGCAGCCCATAGCTTATGTGAGTGCTCCACAACACCCCCCCCACCCCCCACCCCACCCCCGCTGGTTATCACAGAGCCGGTGTGGTCACTACTGACCCTGTCAACAGGCCAGCTCTTTCCAAGCCAGGAGAAGTGTAGGAATGTGCTCAGGCTGAGGGGCCAGGGCCTCTGGGTCCCTGGGTCACAGACTATGTTGACCTTCCCAAAGCACCCCTTACTGGAATCAGCCAGATGTTGAGGATAGGGATGACAGCTCCAAGTTCTAGTTTTGCTTGAATCTGGTCTGGATTGAGGCTTAAATTACGAGCACCCACTTTAATTCTTTCAGAATTAAGTGAGACAGGAGTTATCAAGGTTCTTAATTATCTTCACTTCCAGTTGTAGAAAATGGTAACATTGGGATAGCCCCTGAATGTACATAACAATGATCTGATCTGCAATTGACCTTGGGTTGACCCAGCACTGGGAAACATTTTGTTCTGTTGCCCAGGAGTCACCTAGAGTCAGGCTGACTCAACAGCAGCAAACAAAGACAACATAGAACTTAGGAGGCAGGCGTAAAAGAAGTAAGAACAACAACAACAAAAGAAAACAATCAATAATGTTGACACAGAAACACCTGCCATGTACTTGCCAGACATTTTTCTTTCTGGGAGTTTATTATTGTTGTTGTTGTTATTATCCTCTCCTAAGAGAAGAGTTTTATCTGTTTTTGAAACTCCCACAGACCAAACAACAAAAACAGAACCTACAGTTAGAGATGGGACCTGCTACCAATACCAAAATGATTTTATGGGAATATGGAAGGTAAATAGTTGTTCCAAACAAAATCTAACCTTATAAAAAATATGTGGCATTATTAAATAGCTAATAAAGAAACTCAAAAGTGTGATGTAGTTGATCGTAGCCACCTCTGGCTCTAGCCCAGGTGTGTGGCTATTTTAAAATATGTATCATAATTTGACGACTTATAACCTGCTTTTCATCTTTAGCAATATCTTGGACCTACTTTTTCACATCAACAAGTATCTGTCGCCAGTTGTTACATGGTGACTTGTTATTCCTCTGTCTTTCATTACCATCCAGTCTATAGAATGCCATGGTCTAGTTAGACACTAGGTGGTTTTGATTGCTGGTGACTGCAAGCAACAGTGTTACCGTCAATGCTAAAATAATCTCTGGCAAGTTTTGAGCCCTGTTGTCTAACTCCCATCTACTCCACCCCACTTGTCCCTATTATAAATAAACAAAATTATTTCCATTTAAACTTATCTAATTACACATTAATAGTTCCTAAGTCAAAAGATCACTAGTGGGATTAATTACATACAACACAGACATTTGTTCACACAAGTGCACTCCTCATTTCATATCAAAAGCATGTATTAATTTATGGACTGAACTTCACAGAGCAAAATGATCCCTTATAACAAGCTGGGGACAAACAGTGTCTTCTTTTGTTAGCCTAGAATTACACCAGGCCCTCATAAAGCAGATAGGGGGAAACGAGTTTCCAAAACCTGAAGAGAATTTTTAGTGTGAACACAGTTTGTTCAATGACAGGTGATGTTTTAAAGCGGGAAGGGCATGGACTTAAAGTCAGACAACATGCAGTTCATTCACTGATTCTGAACTTTATTTGCAATATGACTTTGAATAACTTAAAATTCTCTGAGCCTCAGTTTCTTTATCTGTTAAATGGGGCCACTGCTTACAGGGTTGTGATGATTTTAAATTATGTTGATAACACCAAATATTTTGTATTTTTATTGTCACAAACATTAATTGAGCAAAAGAGCAAATTTCCCTTTTGCAGAAAATTTCCCTCCCTGACCTTAAGACATGGGAATAGATGTAGTCAAGGCCCTTTAATATTTAAAAGAAATTGTGTCTTAAGTCATTTCTACCTTTGATATCTCACACCCTATGAATAGGGTAATCCAATAACTTCTGTTGACAATGAGATACTTTTAAGACTTCACTGGGTCATTTTAGTTAGTGGGAACGCTCCCAAGCAGACGGGCTCCTCTTTTATTAACTGGGTCATGATCAATGTTAATGGAGCAAGTGAGAATATGGTCATTCCACTACAAGGGGCTCTTGCTAAGCTGTCTCGGTTTTTCACATGTGACTGACCAAGATTGACACAGTCCAACACAGATTGCAGTTTGCACACAGTTTCTTTGGCCTCTCCAGAATGACCCTGGGATACAACCTTTTGGAACAGCCAATTCTGTTCTCAGTCATCTTATCCTCAGAACTAAGTAAGCTTTTCCTTTCCCCCCATTAATCTTGCTGTGCTAGTTTACCAGATTTGCGGTAAAGTTTCCATGCTTTTTACTTTGTTCCTCCATCCATTATCTGCCAAAGCCTAGCCTAAATTCACAAGATGACTGGGTCGCAGTCGATGCTTTCAGTTAGGCCAGAGAGACCAAGGAGGAAGCCATAACCAACGTGTGCAATATAATTTAAAACAAAATACAGAGACAAGAGCAAAGCACACTGAAACACAGAGAAGACCGTGATTCTTCCTTCTCTGGAAGGGTTCTCAAAGGCAGCAACATTCGAGGCATATCAAGGAACATGTTCTAAGGGAAGAAGGTTGGGCAGTGGCTGCTGGGTGCAAGTTTAAGGACATTTGAGGATGCAGTATGTGCAAGGACCTGCTCAGAATATTACATGGCTGTGGTTTGTTGCAAACAGGACTGAGTGGTTAGCCTCTAATGATCTCTGGGTTCTCCACAATCCTCTTTAGCAATCAAACCAAAACCAAACTCAGTTCCATTGAGTCAATACTCATAGTGACCCTATAGAACAGGTTAGAACTGCTCCCATGGGCTTCCCATGGGCTGGTAGTGTGGTGGCTATGCATTGGGTTGCACTCCCCAAGGTCAGCAGTTCAAAACCATTAGCCACTCCGAAGGAGAAGATGAGCTTTCTACTCCAGTAAGTAATCACAATCTTTAGGAGCAGAAACCTAAAATAGGTAGTCTTCTAGCTCTGGCCACCTCTTTCACAAAACTTTCAACTGTAACACAACTTCTTGAAAAGCCCCCACACATTTTCTTTAAACTTCCATAATAGTATTGCCACTGTCTTTCTCAATTCCTAATGTTAGAAGCTGCGTGCATGTGCATGAACAGGATGTCACGTGTGTGCTAAACTCTACTAGATCTATGCCACGTATTTTTTACTAGTGAAAACTCTGTTAATGGACATGGTACTCTGACTTTTAAAACACCTCTATGTCATTGATGAATAGAAAAAAATTCCTTATAAGACATTCAAAATTGGTCTGTTCACATAGGAAAATAATGTGTGGCTAAGAGTCACCCTATGTTGAGCTTACATCCTTTAAAATGTTTTTGTGTCATTATTTCTATAAGAACAACACCACCAATAAAATGTGACTAAATAATTCTGGCCTCTCCTCTAAAACAACACGTAAACAGCAACCAGTTCTAACAGCTTCAATGAAAAAGCAGGAGAAACAGAAGGCAATGCTGGAAGAAGTCATGAACCTAACAATGGGCATAGAAGAAGCAGATATTGACTTGCCACAAAAAGAAATTTTCAGAATGCTGCTTGAAGTCATAAAGGAAATGAGGGAAGCAATGCAGAAAAAAGATGAAATGATAGAGGAGATAGAGGCAATGCACCAAAGGGAAATACAAGACTTAAGGGATGAAATAACAAAATCCAGTGACAAATTGACAGACCTTGCCAACAGACTTGAGGAGGCAGAGAATCATACCAGTGACCTAAAGGATAACCAAGCAGACCTCAGCAAATGGGAGAAGCAGTCAAATAAGACAATCAAAGAAGCTGAAGAAAACTTGAGAGCCTTGTCTGATGCTATGAAAAGAAACAATATTAGAATAATTGGACTACCAGAACAAGACACAACAGTATTTTGTTAAGGATTTTTGCATCAATGATCATTAGGGATATTGGTCTGTAGTTCTTGATTCTTGTGGTAATTTTGCCCACTTTAGGTATCAGAGTTATACTAGCTTCATAGAAAGACTTTGGGAGTTTTCCATCTTTTTCTAGGTTCTGGAAGAGTTTGTATAGGATTGGTGTCAGTTCTTCCTTGAATGCTTGGTAGAATTCTCCTGTGAAGCCATCTGGCCCAGGGAATTTTTTTGTAATCCCATGCTCGTGAATTGGCAGACTCAATATAGTAAAGATGTCAGTTCTGCCAAAGGCACTATATAAGTTCAATGCTACCTGATTCGAATGCCGTCATCCTTCTTCAAAGAATTGGAAAAACAGATTACCAACTTCATATGGAGGGGGAAGAAGCCCAGAATTAGCAGAGAATTCCTCAAGAAGAAGGACAAAGTGGGAAGGCTTGCTCTACCTGACTTTAGCACGTACTATATGGCCACAGTAGTCCAAACAGTGTGGTACTGGTATAATGAGAGATATTCAGACCAATAGAAAAGAGCTGAAGACCTAAAAATAAAAACATCAGCATACAGGCAACTGATCTTTCATAAGGGCCCAAAAAACATTAAATGGGAAGCAGATGCCATCTTCAATAAGTGGTGCTGGAAAAAATGGATATCTACCTGCAGAAAAATGAAGCAAGACCCTTACCTCACTCCATGCACAAGAATAAACTCAAGGTGGATCACAGACCTTGAGATAAAGCCCCAAACAATTAGGGCCATTAATGAGGGAACTGGGACAAACCTGAGAACCTTGGTACAGGGAATACATAGGCTATCAGAAATAGGGAAGGGTACAAACACAGAGGAGTCACAAATAGACAAGTGGGATATACTGAAGATAAGACACCTGTGTACATCGAAAGAATTCACCAAGAGAGTAATAAGAGAGTCCATTGACTGGGAAAACATCTTTAGCAATGACATAACAGACAAAGGCCTTATTACTAAAATCTACAATACCTTGCAAGCTTACAATAAGAGAAAAACTAATTGCCCACTGAGGAGGTGGGAAAAGTACTTGAACAGAAGTTTCACAGAGTCTGAAATCTAAATGGCCAATAAACATATGAGAAAATGTTCCCAATCATTAGCCATCAGAGAAATGCAAATCAAAACAACTATGAGATACCACCTAACACCCTCAAAGATAGCCCAATTCAAAAAAATCAGAAAGTAACAAGTGTGGGAGGGGCTGTGGTGAGATAGGAACTCTCATCCAGTGCTGGTGGGCCTGTAGGTATGTACAGCCACTATGGAAATCAATTTGGTGATTTCTAAAACAGATGGGAATTGAGCTACCATACCATAAACCCAGAAGAGGCAAGAAACAAACCACGGCCAGACATCTGTGCTCCAATGTTCATTGCAGCACAGTTCACAATTGCACGAAGTTGGAAACAACCCAAATTTCCATCTACAGATGAATGGATTAAAAAACTGTGGTACATACATACAATGGAATACTATGCAATGCTAAAAAGCAGTGATGAACGCATGAAGCATATCACCACATTGGAAGAACTGGAGGAAATTATGCTAAGTGAAATAAGCCAAGCACAAAAGGACAAGTATAGCATGAGTCCACTGAGGTAAGTTTATATATTTAAAAAAAAGAAGAAGAAGAAATAACAGAAAAGTAAATGCAAATGGGGCACAGGGGAAAAGTTACTGTATACAAACACTCCAGGGGTGCGGTCCAGGTAGTATGGCAGGGGCCAGATGAAATCCAGGGGTACTATGGTAGCCAAATAAAAAGGGGGCGGGGAGGGAAGAAAAGAGAAAGCAAAAAAAAAAAAAAGATGTGGGGGCTGGGGAATAGGGCACTGACTCACTCAAGGGGAGGGTATTGTTTGTGTCTCCACAGGGAAAGAGGGACCAGATTAAAGCCAGTACCAGATGAATGCAGTGTGCTGACAAGGAGTGGGGAGCCAGTGGAGGGGCCTGAGGGCTCAACCGCCATACCAGCTACGTGGACAACTGCCCCTCCCCACAGAAGACTTTAGAAGATGGCACTGAAGCTGCAGCTAGGGGAGAGAGACGTGTCTGATCAGAGCACATGGGAGCAAATGAAGGGGGAGGAAGAGAGAGTGGAGCACATCCTGGTCCACCAGGCCTGGAGGATGATATCCCCACTCTGAACAGCCA